CGATAAAATGTGCCCAAGTCCGATGAGGCAAATTTGTCCTTTAAATCCTGATCACATTGTAAGTCGATTATCTCAAGTTGTATGTCGACGGGCAGATCCGCAGCCTTAACTGCAAATGGCGAGCGAAACACTGCAAACTCTGTCTCAAGCTCACCAAAGACCTGAAACCGCCGCTCAAACTCCCGCAGCAATTCCGTAATGTTGTCTTTGTACCGACTCATGTCAGCAGTAACTCCGGTCATATGCACATTTCTTAGATGAGGGAAATGAGCAGGGTCACCACTTGACAGCTGTGTCTCCCACAAAGCCAGCTTCAACTTAAATGCGCGTATGCTGTCATAATATTCTGTGACAACTTTTTTGCGACCTTGCATCGTTATATTCAGATTATTCAAGTGCTCTGAAATATCCACCATAAATGCAAGGTCCTGCAGCCATTCTGGGTTTTTTAATTCATGCACTGGCTTACCCTTTTTCTCCATGAACTGTCCAATTTCCTCGCATAGATCAGAAAAACGCTTCAGCACGGCACCTCGGCTCAACCACCTTACTTCAGTGTGATATGGTAGGCTACAGGTGATGTCTTTATCACTGAGGAGGCTGTCGAACTGACGGTGATTCAGCCCTCTGGCTCGGATGAAATTAACAGTTTGGACAACCACTTTCATGACGTGATCCATTTTTAACGTCTTGCAACACAATGCCTCCTGGTGCAAAATACAGTGGAATGTCCAAAAACGATCTCCTCCATTTGCTGCTTGTACTTTCTCCCTGAATTTCGTGGCAACACCTGCTTTTTTCCCGATCATTGATGGTGCGCCGTCTGTAGCCAGACTGACAGCACGGGTCCAGTCCACTCCGACCCTGTCCAGTGCTTCAACGAGAGCGCTAAAAATGTCATCCGCTTTAGTGGTGTCTGTCATAGGAACCAACTCAAGGAACTCTTCGGTGACCGTCAAAGTCTCATCTACACCACGAATGAATATGGCCAGTTGAGCAACATCTGTAATGTCAGTGCTCTCATCGATTGCAACTGAAAATGCTACGAATGACTTGACTTTTATTTTTTTCTGGCTATCCAAATCTGCTGAAAGATCGGCAATCCTATCCTTCACTGTATTCCTCGTTAGACTAATGTTGGAAAAAGCCTGTCGCTTCTCAGGACACACGATTTCTGCAGCCTTCAGCATGCATGTTTTCACAAACTCACCCTCAGAGTATGGCTTTGAGGCTGATGCTATTTCGTTAGCAATGAGATAGCTGGCTTTCACGGCTGCGTCACTTATATCTCGGCTCCGGGTAAAAACGGCCTGTTGTTTCTTTAGACCTGATAGCAGGTCATTTATCTTTTCTTTTCTCCGTTGTCCTTGCAAGCAGTCGTATTTCTCTCCATGGTGAGTCTCATAATGGCGGCGAATATTATATTCTTTGGGCACAGCAACTTGCTGCGAATACACCAAGCATACAGGTTTTCCATTTACCTCTGTAAAAAAATAGGATGCGGTCCATTTTTCTTGGAAAACTCGGCACTCCGTGTCCACTTTTCTCTTTTTTGACAGAGACATTTGGGGATGAGAGTGTCAGAGGTTATTGACTGCAATCACTACTCTTACTCATCACTTTTTTTACAGTCTGGCTGCGCTCTCACTGGTACCGGTGCGGTAGTGCGCCCACTAGTGGAAGGATTCAAAATAGCAGTTTTTTTCCCCTCCTCTCATACAGTAGCCTACTTAGCAAAATCCTTCAGCTCCGTGGGCCAAGCTGGAATGCCTCCCGGGCCGGATCCGGCCCGCGGGCCGTATGTTTGCCACCCCTGCCCTAGAGGGAACACAGGGATTTTAGCCTTTGCAGACCATTTACATGCCCATTGCACAAAAACAGACTACAGGAAAGGGAAAACCCCAAAAAGCATAACAGGGATATTGGATTTTAATATGATACTTAATTACTGCCTAACATGTGTGTAAAGTGTTTATATTTCAAAGCTGGAATGAAGTCGTTTGCTATCCTGGCTCCTACATGGTGGAATGAGCTCCCCTTTGACATCAGGCAACCCAGTCTCATGGCATTTCGTGTTCACCAACACGATTTTTAATCTATTGATTCGTGTTCACCAACACGATTTTTCCCTTTTTTTCGTGTTGCACAGCACGATTTTAAAAGCAATGTATTTCTACTGGTAATGTGTTTCGTGCCTACAGCACGCCTTTTTCTCCGGTCGGGTCGTGGAAGACCGGAAGCTGTGTGGTTCATAAAAACATGTTCTTACTCAATATCAAGCCACAATTATTGCTTTTATTTGAAATCGTATAATTTCGGACTTTTGTTGCCGTCTGTGAGGAAAATAAATGGGGCTCAGAGACTCAGAATACTGAAATCTGTATCTGCTTACACCGTGTAAGCAGGGGTCAAGTGCTATTTTTATAGGTGGTGTGTGGACCTCACATAAGGGGGTCCGGGGGCAAGCTCCCCCGGGAAGATTTATTTTTAAATATTGAAGTTAAAAGCATCAATCTGGTGCACTTTGAGAGCAACATGAAGAGATCTATGGATACATCTCTCAACACCCATTTGAAACAGAACTGGAAACAGATTTACTTTTTCTTTATGGATATTTTACAAATCACCCTTTTAAACGTTATTCTTGTTTTACTGTCATATAGTATTTCATACCTGTTTTTCATTTATTCTCTTCATGATCATATAAACGTGTGCCTCGGAAATAATTGTTTACATTAATGGTGACCAAAACGTTTGAGACCCACTGAGATAACTTAGACTAAAGTTAACTATCTAAACACTCACCTTTAGCTCACTGAGTCTCTCAGTCTCACAGGAGAGGACTCTCCTCCACTTTGTTGTTGAAAAAGCTCCTTATATCTGTTAGCATAGCTCGCTAGCACCAGAAGCTAACAACTACGATCTCCGGTACGCTCTCTCTCTCGCTCACGTACGCACACAAAATGGCTCGTTCCACACACACACAAAGAGCCGAGCTTTAATGAAACACAGAGGCCCAGACGTAATAGTAGCCTACTGTATTATATTATTTTCGAATCAATAATTTTTCAAATGATGATTTTTTTTCTTTTTTAATCTTTTTTTTTTAAATAACCATTTTTCCTCCTGGTCTCTCGCGCCCCCCACTTTGGGAACCACTGCTTTAAAGGGATAGTGGAAATGGAACCTCAAATAGTTTTGTTTTAACTTATATACAAGCATAATTACGTACCAAAACAATCACACCTGATTAAAAAAATATAATAATTGCCTTACGCATGTTAGAAGCACTTTATTGCAGCTTCCCCGAAGTTTTTTAGAAACGAAATGTTCGACTCAGCCAAACCGGAAGTGACGAAAACTCAGGAAGACGATACGATAACAAACCATGGCGTCTATGCAGAATGAACGTGGAAGGGCAAATATACCAGACAAAGAAGAAGGATTGTACGAGGTATCCAGTGATGATAGCGAGTCAGAAACATCCTCTCGGCTTTCCTACGAAAATGTCGTTTTAGGAACTGAATCTGAATCCGGTTCAGTAAGCGACGATGGTGACAATATTGAGCCAGACGATGGACCATTACGTCCTTATTTGTTCGAGCCCGAGCCCGAGGTGATGGTTCACGGCATGGGCAATGGCGAGGATGACCAGGACCAGGCGCCAGATGATGCACCCCTACGCACAAATAATCTTGACTGGTAGGTCCCTAAGCATAGCTCACACATCTTAAAGGGATAGTGGAAATCCGCGAATTTTGGGTTTAACTTATGTATTTTTATTAAAAATAAGCATAATAAACAATTTTTTTTAATTTCATGCGCCTAGTTTCATTTTATTTTCAATTTTACTGCGCCCTCTCAATGAAACGAAATACTTCGGGAATCGTCGGGAATCTTCGGGTGATGACGAGAGCAAAGGAAGACGGGCACAAACAATGGCGGACATTCAATAGCATTTGCATGTGAATAGCCGACCTTTATTATGGTGAATAGATGTGTTTTGTATGGCTGTAGTGCGACAGCAAATGCAGAGAAGGGCGTATCGACGCATGCGTTTCCAAGAAACCCAGCCATTCGTCGTCAGTGGGTGAAATTTGTTCAGATAACACGGGCAAACTTCACGGAGCCGAAGCTGACGAGTAATTCGGCAGTCGTGTGCTCCCGTCATTTTACTGACGATTGTTTCGAGATTCCTCAGTCTCTAGCTCAAATTGAAAGTGGAATACATAAGAAGTGAGTATTTTATTATGTTTTCTTGTTGATTTAATGCATCATTAGCATGTACCATTTTGTACAACGCCATTTATCCGGTACACAGTGTCGAATGTGTACACTACAGTCATCATATAGACATGATAGACTAACAGTACTGTGAGTACAGCCTACACTTGACAGGCAGCCTGGCTATCCTAGGATGTGGTTTACTTTCTCTTTTCTGGCTGATAGCTCCAGGAATTCGAGGTCTTACAGTGATGATGACATTACATGTGTGGAATCTGTGGAGTCTCGGCTTTAAATCGTATATCTTGTTTGTGCAGTTAAGATACGGGCATTTCTACCGTGTGTTGTGTGTAAAAAAGCGTTAGCATTAGTTAGCATTGTTTCGCTCAATGCTAATTCAAAGGCTTGGTATTACGCTTGTGTGTTTTCTAGCTAACAATTGTTCTTATTGTCAGTTAGCGGAGTTTCTTACCTTTAAAAAGGGTATGAAACATTAATAGTTTCATAAATGTTAAGAAGCCCTGAGACATGTGAGAGAAAAAAAACTGTGGGAGGGGTCCACTGGGGGGACCTTCGGGCTTAACTGGTTAACAATGATTAATATTTGTAAAGGCTACAGGTGATCTTAAGGTCTGCTGCTCTAACATCAGCAGTTTGTTGATACCATGAAGGCTGTTATACCTGCAAACATGTTTGTAGGTAACTGTTTTACTTGCTTTATTTTTAATATATATATTCACTGTAGTATAGCTAAATAAAGACTCCAATTCAACAAAGGTGGTTACAGGATTTATTTCAATTGTACACAATGTGAAGGACACATGTATTTGTAGCTTAGACATTTAAAAAAAAGCACTCATTAAAACATCTTCAGAGTAAAAACGCATCAGGAGATAGCAGAAAGAACATTTCATTGTGTTGTATACATAATTTAACTTTTTAGACAGAAGCTTCAAATATTTAATAAGTGTCACTAATGTCTTAACAATCAATGGAGTCTTTAAGGGTACAGACCTTTTAAATACACAGGCATAATGGAGATTTCAATATGGAAAGTCATATCCATTAAGTACAAATATTTCAATTTCCTAAAAAACCTAATTAAACAATTTCCTTGTCTGGAGTTAGATTTTTTTGAAGACAATAAATGTGAATGCAAATGTATTACAGTTTAGCATAACCCTGAATACGACCCGAAAGAGTAAACACATTAAAATGTAAAGATAAAATAACATTTGCCTGATTATACTTCATTAATAATTATTGTATGTACAAATCCCACCAAGAATACAAATCTTTTGTGAACTGGTTACATGTTAATTACCAAATAATCTGTGTCAAAGTACAATGAAAAGCATCTTGCCGCTTTAGAAGCTACACATTCAACGCTTTCATGAACATTTTTCTAAAATGTGCACACTCAATAAAACCATAATATGTTTTGCTCAGCAGAGTATTAAAAGCATAAAAGCAGTACATGAGAACTTTTGGCTCTGAATATTTCCTGCAAATCACCAACAAAAACACTGTGTACTAATTTATATCCAGGGTAAAAGCATTATATTCTTCTTTAATCCAGGCTAAAACATTGAGGCTAACTTTGGTTTGCCTCAGTTCATTCAGTGTATTTACCAGTTGCAGCTTTTGAGTACACGTAATATATATACTGAATTTAAAACATCTTTATAGTCCTGGAGAATTTAAAACAGCCTTAAAGACCCCGTGAAGTGTGCGCCTGCGCATGATCTGTTATGCTAATACGTATAGTAATGACCAAAATTGTCCATTGGAACCATATCAAAAGATGTTGGAATAGCAACGAATTTGACGAGTTTTGAATTTGCCGCAGGGAAATCCGCAGTTGACCTCCGCCTTCGTGGGCGTGGCTTGCGATCTACTGCGTGACGTCACGAGATGGTCGCCGCCGAAGTGTTTACATTCATCACAGTTTATTGTTTCTCTGTTTCAAAGTCGAATTTATCAAAGTTTTTGAGCGAGTATTTTACTGGAAAGTGTGTCGGAGTCGACTGGAAGTGATTGCCAATCGAGAAAACCTGACAATGGAGGCCAGAGTGAAGAAAAAGGGAGGAAAAACACACGGGAAGCGATGCATTGCCGCTGGCCGTATTAATGTCAAGTCTGCCGAAGTGGCGATGTTTCTGTTCCCAAAAGATGAAGGTGAGCCTGGCTGGTGTCATTGTTTCGTAGATTCGTTGATTGTTCATGACAAATAAAGGCCACTGGTCGATTCGAGAGAGAAAGAGAGACTGAGAGAGTTACATGGTTGTTGTTAGCATCTGGTGCTAGCTCGGAGCTAACGGAGATTAGCTGTTTCAACAATAAGGAGAGGGAGAGTCCTCTCCTGTGGGACTGAGAGAGATAATGTCAGCTCAGGGAGGTAAAGGACTCTGAGTGATTAGATTGTAAACTGTAGCCTAAGTTATCTCAGTGGGTTTAATAATTTAATAGTTTAATAATACTCTAGCACATGCCATGTACATAAGCTAATTATTTCCCAGAGGCTGAGCCCAAGCAGAGATTTTAAACAAGGCAAAGGACCCTTCAGTCTTCACTTCACGCCCCCCCCCCCCCCCTATTTTCCAATCGACAGTGACAGCACAGTCACTGCTAACCTGCTAACCATTCAGTGTTCTGTAGCCGGTCAATGTCTTCCCCATCGTCCATGTCGTCGCCATTATCCTCCCCACTTGACGTCCCTGACGGCTCAAATCTGTAGGGTTCAATGATGTCCTGCACTTCCATCTTCTGAGCCACTTTCCTCATCTATCCTGTCAAAATCAATCATTTCTCTCGCACTTGTATCACTTTACAACAGGGCCCATCTTGTGACGTCACAGCCGCTATCGTCTGCAACTTCTTAGGCTTAGACGGCCGTAATTATTAAAATTAATAATGAATTAAGTAATAATTAAAATTAATAATGAATTAAGTAATAATTAAAAATTATTTTAGCCATGAACAGGCGCAATGATATGTAAGGAATGAAACTGCCATTTCATTTTGGCGCAAAAACATGCACTTCACGGGCACTTTAAGTTATTTATAATTTTATTTGAATTGTTGTCAAAGTGGTTGTTTTCCGAGTCCTAATAAGAGCCGATAGAGTTGAACAACAATATTTGATCATTATTAATATTTCCCTCCTTGTAGGCTGGATGTGGCGCTGGATTGGGGGCTGGGGGTGTCACCAGCTGCAGGGATGAACAGAAGTCATACTTAAAACGACTAAAGCAACTACAAACATAGAAGCTCAATGCAGCTTTAAATCATTGGATGAAGATACTTACGGACGCCAGAGTCCTTAGAGCCAGCGCTGTCGACAGATTCGTCTGAGCCTGTGGAGAAAAGAAGATCTTTATATGCAGAATGGGTGGAGCGTTCGAGGCAGCGTCTGACTCTCGAGAACAGAATATACCGGGGTCTTCCCTGGATCTCCTGCATCCATTGAGGAAATAACGGCTATAAAAGTGTTGTCCAAGGAAATGTATTTACAACAAAGTTTTCTTTGCCCGAAATGACATCACAGACTCACAGAAACGTTGTAGTACCACCGTTTGGCCATTACAACATTTCCCCCCAACTCATCATATCCTAACTGTGCTGTCTGGACTGCGATCTATTTATTCAATGAACAAAATGTGACAGAATGTGAGGTCAACCTTAGAGTCCAGTCGAGTTCTGGTTGTCTCGCCTGGGTGGAAGCTTATAATGAACCCGCATTTAGCATTAAAAAAAAAAATGCACTAAAAGCTGTTATTTCCCCTCTCCATTCATTTGACTCAGACGAGAGCTCGGAGGCGGGGTTTAAGGAAAACTCAAAATTCGATACACCGGTCCAGTATTTAGCTTAATATTAAACCAGGTTGAAAATGTTTACTATGTAACCGCCCTTGTTTACAAATCAGGAGCTGTGAGTAAGTGTAGGATCCCCCTTTCCCTGTTAAAAAGAATCACTTGATTATCTTGATACTTCAGCACGTTATGTGGTCATCCCCTGCTTGATTTAACACATCTATATACAATCTCCCTACATCACACAAAAAATCTAACTATATATTTGAATGTAATGTAGATTAATGCAAACACCACGTCTTTTCACATCTTTTAAGAAAACGAAAACAAACTTACCCTTCATAAGAGCTTTAGATGCCTCAATGTCATTGTTGCCTACACACACACACACACACATTATTTACATTGTCTTTTTTTTTTACATTTGTATGACATAGAAGCTCAATGCAGCTTTAAATCATTGGATGAAGATACTTACGGACGCCAGAGTCCTTAGAGCCAGCGCTGTCGACAGATTCGTCTGAGCCTGTGGAGAAAAGAAGATCTTTATATGCAGAATGGGTGGAGCGTTCGAGGCAGCGTCTGACTCTCGAGAACAGAATATACCGGGGTCTTCCCTGGATCTCCTGCATCCATTGAGGAAATAACGGCTATAAAAGTGTTGTCCAAGGAAATGTATTTACAACAAAGTTTTCTTTGCCCGAAATGACATCACAGACTCACAGAAACGTTGTAGTACCACCGTTTGGCCACTACAACATTTCCCCCCAACTCATCATATCCTAACTGTGCTGTCTGGACTGCGATCTATTTATTCAATGAACAAAATGTGACAGAATGTGAGGTCAACCTTAGAGTCCAGTCGAGTTCTGGTTGTCTCGCCTGGGTGGAAGCTTATAATGAACCCGCATTTAGCATTATGACATGTTCTGGCAATCTACAAATCATCAACCTGTGCTGATGGCATCACACTGATTGCAATGTCACAGTTGTTATTACTCACCGAGCTATGTCTAACTTATTGCCTTAATAATAACTACAACTGCCCTTTCACTAGGCCTATTTAAATCATTAGGGTCTATATTCCCTAAAAAGCTGTTATTTCCCCTCTCCATTCATTTGACTCAGACGAGAGCTCGGAGGCGGGGTTTAAGGAAAACTCAAAATTCGATACACCGGTCCAGTATTTAGCTTAATATTAAACCAGGTTGAAAATGTTTACTATGTAACCGTCCTTGTTTACGAATCAGGAGCTGTGAGTAAGTGTAGGATCCCCCTTTCCCTGTTAAAAAGAATCACTTGATTATCTTGATACTTCAGCACGTTATGTGCAGGTACCAACAGCATCTGATGCTACAAAATCAGATGCTGTTGGTACCTGTACATGTGGTTAAATATGTAAATTGTAATCCCTGTACATTTTGTTGTATGATGTCCTTTTGTTGTTCATGTTTTTATGTCTTCTTGTGGAACCTACTGCTGCAGGTCTCCCTTGAAAAAGAGATCATTGATCTCAATGGGATTTTACCAGGATAAATAAAGGTTTTGAATTGAATTGAATGTGGTCATCCCCTGCTTGATTTAACACATCTATATACAATCTCCCTACATCACACAAACAAATCTAACTATATATTTGAATGTAATGTAGTTTAATGCAAACACCACGTCTTTTCACATCTTTTAAGAAAACGAAAACAAACTTACCCTTCATAAGAGCTTTAGATGCCTCAATGTCATTGTTGCCTACACACACACACACACACACACACACACACACACACACATTATGTCTCTTTTTTTTTTACATTTGTATGACTGTTGTCAGGCCTATCAACACCAAAAACATAAACATTATTTGTAACTACATATTATGCTATAATACTTTTGAATACCATACTACTCTATAATAAACCTTTTAACTGTATTTGCAAAGTGACCAGAGGGTTCTCTTCTCATCCAGCCAATAATATCATTTATATAATTATCTTTAACGTTTTAGTACAATCGTATAAAATCCATAAGCACTTACCTTTGGTAGCAACAGTCTGAAGTGTCTCGCCTGTTAACAAAGACAAAGTTAAAACACACACATGAAGACACACACAACCAGATTTGAATGAGTGGACAGAGACACTGACCTGAGCCATCACTGGTGCTGTCGCTGCTGTTGCTTCCCCCTGCAAAAAGAAGACATTTTAAAATCTGCTGCTACCTGAATGTTTTTATTCAAACAGAAAATAAATGAGTTACCTTTGCTCTTATTTCCACTTGTGCACACTCAAGACAATGTTAACACATAGTAATGATTATGGATAAAGTCAACATCACTGAGACAAATGTGTGATGCTGGGCTATATAAATAAACTTAATTTATTAATTGATTGACCAAATATAAATAAGGGCTACAACTAAAAAAACATTTTTTTTTTTAAATCAATGAATCTTTTGATAATTTTTTCAGTTCATCGTTGGGTCAGTAACATGTCAGAAAAAAGTAACAAAATGACCATCTCAGTGTCTCAAAGGCATAAGAAAAGCAGGAAATGTACATTTTTGAGGCTGAAAGCAGCATTTTCGGAGAATGTCTTTCCTTCTCTTGCATGAAATATTAAGTTTCATTATCACAGGATCGTGCAAATAAAGATTGATATGAAGCAGAACGATGGATATTTAAAACGGAGCCCTACAGAAGCTCCCTGTGAGGGAGAAACTTCAGATCTGATGAGAGCAGGGTCAACTGACTGTGCAGTGGATTAAGGTTCACAGTTAATTCAGATAATGATTGACAGGACTGCTATTCAATGTGACCTCTGATCCCCTTTTGAAGAACATCATAATAATAACAGACCTTTGCACTTTATAACGATCTCACACAACACATCCTTGCTCATGGCTGACAAGACTGTAAAACCAATGCTTTGTCTAAGTCTAGATACTGCCCTCAGTACACTGCATGTCGTACTAACAACGATAGCTAGCAACGATAGCTACAGACGATTGTTTGCCGTAACACGAGGCCCTGTTTACTAAAGAAACCATAATCCTGGGTTGTTGCATGACTTCCGTGATGCAGCTAAGATGGCAATGGTTGAGTGAGAATCGTCCAGCATTGGACACTGATGAGAACACTCATTGTGCAATGCCCTCAAAACAGCACATGTAATATGCTAGAAAGATTAAACCTAAATATTAGAATGAAGTTTTTGTTCAATAAACACTCACTTGAATTACATGTTGTATTTTCTTCTACAGAAAATAAATATTCATCCAAAGGTATCTTGTTGTTGAAGGAAGACAGTTGTTAGATATTGCACTTACCGAGCTTTCCTTTTTTGTAGAGAATCAGGAGCACCGCCAACACGACCAGGAGCAGCAGCACCACCACCGCCGCTACCACTGCGCCAATGATGGGTCCTGAACCGCTAGGAAGTGTATGATCTAAAAAATAAAAGAATACACTAGTTTCACATTTTCAAAATCATTCCTATTCCTTATATAAAGGCAATTCGGATGTGGTTAGTAACGTTCGCTTGTAAGGTGTTTCTAGGTCTCCCTCACTCATTTGACTCAAAGGTTATTCCGGTCGTAGTGGATTAAGAATGAATCATTTTTGTACGCTTTGTCCTGCTGAATGACTTTAATCTAAGAAACTTCTTAGCACATCTCTATTAAAAACAAGATTTGGTGCTTTTGCATTTGATCTTCCTCGAGATAATCAGATCCGTCAAATCAATTAGTTAAACAGTTATTAGTATTTTTAGTTGAGAATAGCCTCACTAATTTCAATCATTTGTCCCTTGCCACCCTCTGCAATTAAAATGTAAACAGCAAGAAATGCTAAAAAAAAAAAAAGGCAAGAAAAAGTTTCCTACCCCATTCCTTCTCAACATGCATTCCTGACGCAGCATGATTCACTTCACAGGTGTAGGTGGACACGTCAGTCCTCAGAATCTCCACTCTGTCTGTTCTCTGGTAGGTCTCGTCGCCGTTTGGTCGAGTGCCTGTTGAACACACTCCGTCCTCTTTGGTTAGAACACGGCCGTTCCGTTTGATCTGCAGCAAGATGTCTTTCGGGTAGAAACCGGTGGCCATGCACGACAGGATGATGTTCTTCTCCGACTTGGCCTTCTTTGAAAACACGTGCACCTTTGGAGGAACTGGAAAAAGAAACCATAACATCAGATCATATTTGCAGGCTTTTCATTTTTAACCAGTCCAAATGATTATTTAAGGTATTTTCCCAAACACTTTTCCAATAGCAGGCCTATTGTATTTAGTTCTTGGTTGGAAAATGGGATCTGGGAAAAATCTTTGTCTTACAAAATGCTAGTATTCTTAATTTGTTGATGTGATAGGCTAAAACTTCAGAATAGTTTTGTAGCGCTAGTCAAATGATGGCGAATGTTTTGACCTAAATAGGGGTTTATAATATAGATGGTTTGCTTTCATCTATAATGATGGCAATTTGATGATAGTGTAGTGCCAGCCAAATGTTGCTTAAAGTAGGCATATGTATTATTCCGGGATTAGTCAACCCTCAGCTGAATTTGTAGAAACCCCATTGTTTTTAAGGCTAGTCAGTTTAACAATTTGTATAGAGATCCTTACGTTACAAAAGCTATTTCTAATATCTAGAACAAAAATTTAAATAATTTGAGGTCATACATACTGGCATCATTTTGTTTTCCAAACTCCACAAACTTGCTCAACCATTCCATGCACTCAGTCTCCAGGTAGCCTTTGGTGTATTCTTTCAGAACCTGGACTTTATCCCACTTCCTCTTAGTCGTCTCTGACGCGACGGTTGGGGCCACCCAGGTGGAGTGGACGTCGTCGAAGGACAGGAAGTCGGTCCCGTCGTAGCTGTACATGTCCGTCCCATGGCGGTACTGAAGCTTACCGTCAGGCTGCATTTCGCCCTTACAGCCGTGCATCCACTGCAGAATGTGGACGTCTGTAATGAGAGCGAGGGGCGGGACAGTGAGACAAGAGCCTAATAACAAGAATATGGTTTAATATATAGACATAAGTCTGTCTACTACAAAACTCTATTTCCTTTACTTTTACGCATTTACTAAGATCAAAAAGTCTGCCAGTAAACTATTTGAATGTGATTCAATTCATGCTCCTGCTATCGATATGAGACCATGTCATATGGCGATCTATTTCAACTAACAATGGAATAATTAAAAACTGAACTGTGCTCTGAAAAAAACATGTTCTTTATAATTAAAATACACCTCCTGTTGTTGGAGGACAAGTTGCTAGTCAAAGCAGCGTGTCACTAAAATAAGAACAACTGGTCCACCTTAAATAGGCAACCCACCTTAAGTTAGCATGTTGTTGTTGCTAACTCTTCACTTAAAGCAGGAAGAGACAAGCAAGACACTGGCAATCACTTTGATAATAAAAAAATGAGTTTAAATGGCTAGAAGTAATTGGTTGTATTCTACAAATGTTCTTTTCAAATGTCTCACTTGCTAATTGCCCAAGCAACAATTGCTAAAAAAGCGAGCACTGTTTAGGAAGGAGGTGCACTTTGATGGAAATGGTACCTTCAATAGAAAGGGGAATCCGAAAGTTGATGTTATTTTTCGAGCTCTCACTTTGCATGGAAGATGTTATTATAAATAAGCATTTTGGCTCCTGCATCTTACCGGTGTCATTCTGTCTCATTCGTGTCATCAGGATGTTGATGTTGACTTTGAACCACTGCTGCTTGCTCTGGCGGGACTGCGTGCCTTTCTCCCAGTATTCTGCCGGCATCTGCGTCTTCATAAAGTCCTGTTTGGGAACTTTGTTCTGATTATCGCTGTCAAAGTAGTCGATCATCTTGTTGTCCAGCAGCCCCATGGCGGTGAACTCATGGATGCCCGGGAGTTCCACAGGTTTGGAGAAGGCTGTGTAGATGTAGGTGAGGGAATGCATGGCTGAGGGTCACACAGGGGGAAAGACAGACATATGTTTATTAGACAATGCAGATATATGTAGATTTGACTCTTAGGTTTCGAATGAGCTTCATCCATCCAATTACACTGTTACAAGTGAGTATTTTGACCATATCCTCATTTGTATTTTGTATTCATATTTTTCCACTCCAAGTTGTATAAACTTGAATGCGTAATGGATTTCAGCATATAAGAATACATATTATATGTTCCTTATAATTATGCACACTTAGACAAACAGCAACTCCTTGTAAATGAGGAGGTTGACGTATTTTGGCTTGAGAAAAATGACCTCCACAATTATTCAATTCTGTTCATAAACGTATCAACTATTTGTTATAAATTGTGAAATGTGTGTTGTTTAATGTGAAGGCAAGTGCAGTAAATAGAACTGAGTTGTATGGTTTCCTTTGATACTTCCGGGAAACAAACGCCCACATACAAAAACTGAGAAAATGCATTTGACAGTTGTCAGTGTTTCCATAAATGTCTTTAAATAAGAATTGCATTACAGAAATGCCAAAGATACATATGTTACGTCGTATCTAAGAAGAATATAAGTATCAAATATCTTAACCAACCTCAAGCTCTGCTAGAAAGAACGAGGAAATCAAACTCAGAAAAGATGGCAACCTTCACAGACAAACTTCTGTATGAGCCAAATCAGGCTGCGCCCATCATGGCAAGAGATATTTGAACAATGCTGTCTGTTCACCTCAGTGACGACAAACATAAGGGTGGTGTTCAGAAATCAAACCAAAGCCCCTAGAGAGCAATAAACAACCCGTCTCTGATTATGACTGTAGATTACATCAGTCGTAAAGATCTAGATCCAATCATACGACAGATTTACAATGATTTAAGAAAAGAGAATAATAATTCCTCTTATCTCACTAATACTAATGGTAGACCTGCTGCAACACCAGCTGTTTTTCCTGAATATACTTATCTTACTCAGGGCTCCACATTAAGGACTGCCCGATGGCCCGGGGCCATCTAGTATTTAGCTCGGGCAATGAAGCCTCACCTGCTGGTTGCCCGATTGGGCAATCTATTATGCCAGTATCATGCAGCTCGTGGATCCAGTAATGAGTGAGCCGACAGTAAAACTAAACATATCTATAACTAGTTTAGGTAGTTTGAGAGGTAATTAAAATAGCTACGTGTGATATTCTAACCTGAAGTGTGTGTTTTGTCCGCTCACCGCTGCATGTGATCATGCAGAGCTGTGTGTCGACTCGTCAGCAGCAGCTGATCTCTCTCTCCCGTCAGATTAGACTTCACTCGCGTTTATGTCCATATCGATCAGATCCAGCTAGTTCTAGCTAATGATATGACTACCTGCTTATTAAAAGACACCTAAACAATAAGTGTCGCTATCAGAGTTGGGTGTAACGCGTTACAAAGTAACGCGTTACACCCAACTTTGTTACTTACAAAGTAACGCGTTACTGTAATATTATTACTTTTGTGGGTAACGGAGTAGTGTAACGCGTTACTTTTATAATTCAGTAATCACACTACAGTTACTAACATTGCCCCGACACGCGTTACTTCGTTACTTTTATAAAATAATCACACTCACTGACAGACTAGAGGGGTTTCCGCCGCAGGTTTATATACATGTAGGCCTATGTAATCTGCGCGACTTGCGAGACCACATCTCCAAGTGCAGTGCTGCATAAACATGGCTGAGTCTTTTCATCTGTAAACTCCCTCAACGCTCGCTCTCTTTTGTTGATCGCCCTCTCACGGGTGAACAGTTCAATGTCCCGCTTCATTGTAGGAATTCTGCCATGTCTCTACCACTTTAGTTTGACCATCTCTGTTACTAAGTTATGGAATACTAAATAAATAAGTAATTAGATACCTTACCGTTATGCGCTCATAAAGAATGATAAGAATAATGCGTCTTGAACTGGTTTCATTCATTAGTGTCTTGACGTTTCACAGACTGTTAGCTTGTTGTGTGGCTGGTAGCCTATTTTAGAGCATATCAAAAGAAAGACTTGTGTTATGTCTTCCTTAATGCAATAGTAATTGGGGGTGCAAGTGGAGTCTCGCAGAGGCAAAACTGTGGCGTGCACACTGTAGGTGCGCCGCAGTCTGCGTGATCTGCCTGTAGGGAGGGGCGGGCCGGCCCTGCGAGTAAAGTAACGAGTAAAGTAACGAGTTACTTTATGCAGAGAGTAACGAAGTAGTGTAATATATTACTTTTTTTTAAAGTAATATGTAATATGTAATATATTACTTTTTTTTAGTAACGACCCCATCTCTGGTCGCTATGCAACCGGGTGAGGCCACAAAGTATAGCGCAGCATTATGCATTTGTTTACATGCCCACCGGAACCCCGAGGCATTACCAACAGATCAACGCACAATCAACCCATACAGGACATCTCTTTCTCCACATTAAGTGTTAGACATTAGAGTTGACTATTCTTGTCTGTCACATAAGTGGCGCAACTGAAGCGGTATTGCGCTAAAGGGAAATAATTTTGACCGAAGAGATTTAGATTTGCCGGCTAACGGGAACTCTGACGTCCCATTTTGTGTGCTTCGCGGATGCGCTCGGCTCCTCTCGACTGCTGCTCGGGTCTGCTCAGTCAGCTTCCGGATGAGGAGGCATTCGACCAACTTACAGTAGATAACATTACAACATTTTTAATAGTGTAAATAATGTTTGTTTTGGCAGTTATAACTGAATGTAATGTTTTCTACTTTTTTACATCTGGGAAGCCATTTGCCTTCATCAGATGGAAAGTGTCTTGATCAACAAATGAAAGCTTTAGCAAGTTCAATAAGGAAGACCTAACTCGAGTCACTCACACGTCACTCTATGGCTCCCTTCCCCCCTCATTAAATACGAGGGCGTCACCCCTCAGCAGCCAATCGCTGCACATGCTAAATGCCTTAAATGCCTGCTCTTCCTCCCTGTCAGTTGTCATTGCAGATGATCACACGCAACCCGCCTCCACCCCTCTCGCCTCCTGTCTCCTTCAGGACAAAGCTAAACCTTCCTCTTTCAGACCGGTCTCACCTACTCATCACCACCACCAGTGTCTAGACCCCGGGGATTTCTTCGGAGCGGTTCTTTCCCTCCTGAATGATTATCCTGCAAACCGGGGCCTAATCGCCAAACACCATTACATTCTCCTGTTGTATTATCGTGGCAATCATTTCATTCATATGACGTGTAAACAATAAATATGTAATTCTTACATCACGTCTCTCCGGTTTGAACTTAAGTATTTTTTATAGCTATGCAGGGCATGCAAGCGAGCAAACACAAACAAGCACAAACAAACAAGTGAAATGAAGAATACAATTGAACAATATAATATTGTGGTGGTTCATCTTATAATTCAGTCTAGAGAATGCACCAGACAGCATCTAAGACCTGCACAAATCTAAATGTTCTAGGGGGAGGCCCCCCAAACCCTTCGTGCGTCATTTCGTCCGCGAGCATTTTTCAGGGCAATCTCTATTGGGCTCAGGGCCATCTGTAAATTAGCTTAGATGGCCCACAGGGCCATCTCCCAAAATCCTTAATGTCATGCACTGCTTACTTTTACCTTATATGTATAATTTAGTTTACAACAATATGCCCATTAGGTTAAATCTTTCAATCCGTATAGATTTTTGAGTACAAACATTCTCATGGATATAATTGGGATATCAAGATGTCACGTGAGGTAAACATATAGTTTAGGTTTGTTCACTTGCTTAACTAAACCAACTGTTTACATGTTTTACTCGGGACGTCCTAAAAATGTTTACTCTTTTAAAAACAACTTAAAAACATTGGGAAAAAAATCGTTATATGTTTTAAGGTTTAAAGAATTTGATTCACAGAAACGTAAGGCTTATCGTGATTAACAGGATACCGACGCCATGTTATACCACCAGCTTCAATAAACAACAGCTGTCAATCATGAAAAACTCAATACAATTCTTGTTAGATTTATGTACTAGAGCTACAGAATATTTTTGTATTACCACCAATGAAGACACTAAACTTCTATTTTAACAAATTAAACGAAAGAAATGAACACAAAAACAAATTTCAAACGACGTCACAACCTCGTTTCTTTTTGCTTTCACTTTCAACCTGACTTACATAAAGGTCTCAAAAAACTCTTAACTCACCGCAGTTTGCCGTCAGTCCTGTTCCCAAAAGGACAAATACTGCGAAGAAATACATGTTCGCGTCGAACTAGGCACTCTTCGTTTCTAAAAGTCAAGTTGTATCCGAGTGAAAAACGACCCGTAGGCAGACTGCTGCTCACTGCTCGCTCCCTGCTGCTGCTTCCTGCTTCTTCTGTCGCACTCTGCTCATGGTGCATTCATGGGCTGTCCGTAAACACTTCATTGGTATAGGCTACACGGTTAAATGACGTATCGCTACATTTACAGACATTCATAGTTCTTGTAGTTCCTAATATAGAAACCATAAATCGCCTATTTTTTATATAAAATCGGGAGTACATCATTTTGATAGCTACTAATAAGCAGTGGTGTAAATTAACTAAGTCGATTTACTCAAGTACTTAGGTAATTTTTTGAGGGACTTGTATTTGAGTAATTCCATTTTATGCTACTGTGTAATTCTACTCCACTACAATTCAGAGGTAAATGATGTACTTTTACTCCACTACATTTATTTAATACCTTTACTTACTTTGCAGATTTTGATTAATGATGTGAAATATAATATACACAAGACACCTGGAGTAAATTCACAAGCTGCCCTGCAGCATACAAAGTCATTAAAACTAGCTGCACCTTTACCATGTTTTGATGATAACACTTTAATGCATCAAAGTAACAAAGTAGGCTACATTTACTTTTAGCTACTTTAGTCAAATGGAAGTAGCCTACTTGTTCTTTACTTTTTACTGCACTACATTTATTTAAGAGCGTATTCATTATTTAGTTTGTTAGTCTTATAAGATTTTATAAACAAACGTGATTTTCACAGAGTAAACTATAAGCAGTGGTGTAGTGGTCGTTGGACGCGGGGGATCGCCGTCCCCCCACTTATTTGGAGCCACCACTTTTTTGAAGCATGATGTTTTTTAAATAGTCTAATAAATAAAAAATCATTGCCAGTGTTATCAGTTGCAAGTGTGTATTTGTTGTAATAATGACGAAAACATAATACATTAGTAATTATAATAAAAACGTAGCTCAAGTATTTATGCAACTTGATTTGAACCATAAGTGCATTGTACTGTAATATGCCTAGTTATAATTACAACAACAAAGTTGCTGTTAATACAATAGACTGTATAGTAAAGTAGCCAGTATTACAAATGAGTACTGTTATATTTTATATTTGAAGTATACTGTTTCAAATACTTATGTAGTAGGCCTATGTCATGTTTCTGTATAGCCTACTACAACAGTAACAACAATGGGACATTAGTGAAGTCACCTATTGTAAAATAGGTCAGGGAGTTACTTTCTGTCTTCTAATATACATTGTTAAAGATAAGGCTACTAATGAATGTACTAAGCTAAACCAGAAAAAGCTAACTGCTGTAACCATTGACCAGAGTTGGGTAATGGGTAAATAGTAATAATATTACCTATGTCGGCAACGGAGTAGTGTAACGCGTTACTTTTATAATTCAGTAATCACACTACAATTACTAACATTGCCCCGCCACGCGTTACTTCGTTACTTTTATAAAATAATCACACTCACTGACAGACTAGAGGGGTTTCCGCCGCAGGTTTATATACATGTAGGCCTATGTAATCTGCGCGATTTGCGAGACCACATCTCCAAGTGCAATGCTGCATAAACATGGCTGAGTCTTTTCATCTGTAAACTCCCTCAACGGGGCCGCTCGCTCTCTTTTGTTGATCGCCCTCTCACGGGTGAACAGTTCAATGTCCCGCTTCATTATAGGAATTCTGCCATGTCTCTACCACTTTAGTTTGACCATCTCTGTTACTAAATTATGGAATACTAAATAAGTAATTAGGATAATGCGTCTTGAACTGGTTTCATTCATTAGTGTCTTGACGTTTCACAGACTGTTAGCTTGTTGTGTGGCTGGTAGCCTATTTTAGAGCATATAAAAAGAAAGACATGTGTTATGTCTTCCTTAATGCAATAGTAATTGGGGGTGCAAGTGGAGTCTTGCAGAGGCAAAACTGTGGCGCGCTTACACTGTAGGTGCGCCGCAGTCTGCTGTGGTGTTCTGCGTGAATCATCCAATGAAATAATTCGAAACAAGTTACTAGGCAGATTATATCAAATAAGGTTGTGAGGTTTGTCAGAGAGTAACCAAACGTACGCTTATTAGGTCTACTAATACCTCACAGTGAAATATAATTTTTTGAGTTTTGATTTAAATAAAGTGAATGTGGTCTGGTCTCTGATTGGAGGTGGGATTGAGTTCCATTGCTGAGCAGCTTTAACAGAAAATGAAGACTGACTGAAATAACTTTTTCTGAGTGGAATAATGCAATCTCCTCTCGCTGCACCTCTTGTTACCCTAGTTGCAGTTGTGCGTATGTTAATAAACTGTCTAAGAGGAGGTGAGGTCAGGCCGTTGACAATCTTGTAAAAAAAGGCAAGCATTTGCATGTTTAATGAGGTTTTCCCAATTTAGCAAGTTGTATTTTTGGAGTATTGGGCAGTGATGCGAAAAAACAGATTTTATGTCCAGTATTTTGAGTGTTTGTTTGTACAATGACTCCAGTGGTTTTAATGTTGTTGTACTGGCATGTGACCAGGTAGTTAAACAGTAGGTGATGTGTGAGAGAACCATAGAGTGTGTGTGTACATCAGAGATGCCTCAATTGACATGTAATCTCTGGTTAACCTAAAATTCGACAGACTGAATTTGACCCCATTACATAATTTTTTTAACCTGAGCCTTGAAATTGAGTGTTGAATCAATCATGACTCCGAGGTACTTGTATTATGACACGCACCACCTGTAGCCTCTCCCCTGACACAAAAACATCTGGCGCAACACAAGAGGACTTTGTTTTGGTGAAGAAGATGCATACTGTTTTTACAAATATTTAGTTGCAAACAGCAGTGTTCCAACCAAGTTGTTACATGAACCATGATGTTTGTCAGTTCATTAGCCACTTGTGTCATATTGCTTCCATGTGCATATCTGCATACATTTGGATGTTTGTGTCAGGACATACAGATGGTAAATCCGGTTTACAGAATAACCAGGAAATACACATTTCGATCGCTTCTTCTGTTGTTTACATTTATCTTTTGGTATATTTGGCTCCATAGGAACACTTTGATGCACATTCAGTACCAGTGTGTGAGGTTGTGGTTGCGATGCCGATATCCGGACGCGTACAGCGAGGACTACAAAATGACAATGAGGTGACTGGGGATGTCTGTTCAAAACATTGCTAACGTGAATAAATCATTTCAAATATGTATTTGTCTCCAACTTTCATTTGTACGTCGTTGTTAATGTGATGTTTAGTAGCTTTGATAGCTGTCCATACCTCCAGACAGCCTAAAAGTAAGACACAAGTTGTTTACTCACAGCCCGAATGCAGCATCGAGATCCGTGGCCAGCTGTGATCCTCTCCGATTAACTTGTGACAGGACTTCTGTAGCTATTCTCCAGCGAGCAAGGTTTTTATTAAATACCTCCATCCCTCTCATCACAACAAGACTCTACACTGTGCAGAAAAAAAACAACATAAATGAAAATAACCTTGCTGGATAGCTTAGAATGAAACAAACAAACTATCTTCCATGGCTGATAGCCGTTATTGATGTCACAGTAACGGCTAAACGACAAGTCCAGCGGGGCACAAGTTGAATCCATATTATGGAATTGTTATTTTAGATATATATGTATGCTATATATATTTATTTCTATCCTACATTGTCTAGGCTTATAAACCGGCGGAAGTGTCACAACTTTCTTGTTTTGTGATTATAGAGATAGATAGATAGCGAGACAGAGAGGCTACTGTAGAGATAGAGATAGACAGACATAGAGAAAGATCGGCTGTGCGTAAGTGAGTATTGAATGTGATAGAGTGTTTGTCCGTGTGTGTGTGTGTGCGTGTGTGTGTGTGTGGTCTAGCATTACTGTACTTGTGGGGACCTAAATCTGTTTACATAGTCACGTGGACTGGCTTCCCTTATGGGGACACATTGGAGGTCCCCATGAGGGGAATCATTAATTTTAGGGTGAAGACTTGGTTAGGTTTAGGGTTAGGGTAAGGGTAAGGCATGTGTTGGTTGTGGTTAAGGTTAGGATAAGTCTCCAGGAAATGCATGTAAGTCAATGTAATGTCCCCTGAAGTGATGTATACATGGTGTGTGTGTGTGTGTGTGTGTGTGTGTGTGTGTGTGTGTGTGTGTGTGTGTGTGTGTGTGTGTGTGTGTGTGTGTGTGTGTGGTTAAAACACATCAGCCTGCAGTCACTCTTTAGCCTTTCTAATGATTCTGAAGGTAAACACAGCGAAGGCGGTGCGTGAAAGGCGGTGCGTGAAAGGCACGGCGCGCTCGTCTTCTCAGAGGCTGAGTTAACCCTCCCGCAGCAGATACCGTGAGTGTCACAGACATGAATTCATAGATCAAGGCAGACTGGTGCACACACTCTCCTGTTTTGCCGATCCAGTGCTTAAACAAATATAGCTCTACACCCCTGGCCGAAATGTCCTTAAAATTAAGTCCGAGTTCGACATTTTAATTCATGTCCTGCCAACACTGGCAGGACAGAAGGCGACACGCCCGTTCTAAGCCGTGTCCCTCACTCCTCACATCCCAAGCTGCATCCCCAAAAAGTGTATTATGTTACATCGTTTCAGATGTTATGTTTCAGTTGTGCTCTTGATAAGCCATTAAAACAGTAAAAACACGTTCAGTTTCCTTTTGCTTTTTGTGTCTCCTGTTCACCAAAACATACCCATCTGTGATGGAAAAAGAAAGTAATCTAAAAGTAACCTAAAAGTAATCTGAATACGGATTACTTTCAGAGCCATGTATTCAGTAACTGATTACATTTACAAAGTAACCCTCCCAACCCTGTGTATATGTATGTATATATATATATACATATATAAATAACAATTTCATTATATGGATTCAACTTGTGCCCCGCTGGACTTGTCTGTGGTTTAGCCATTACTGTGACATCAATAACGGCTATCAGCCATGGAAGATAGTTTGTTTGTTTCATTCTAAGCTATCCAGCAAGATTATTTTTCTTTTATGTTTTTTGTGTGTGCACAGTGTAGAGTCTTATTGTGATGAGAGGGATGGAGGTATTTAATAAAAACCTTGCTCGCTGGAGAATAGCTACAGAAGTCCTGTCACAAGTTAATCGGAAAGGATCACAGCTGGCCACGGATCTCGATGC